CGACGCTGGTCATGTGTGTGTTGCTGGCCAATAGCGAGCCTGCGTGTACAACCCAGAAGCGCTGCGCTGTTACACTACGTGAACTCACTCGAGGCCCACAGAGAAGATGATGAATAGTTGAATAAAGTCGTTATTTTAGGGGGTTTTTTTGCGCACAGAAAGTATTCTCGTCGCTTGATAAACTTAAGGTTGAGCCACTGTAGTCACTCGGACTATATAGTTTTTCTCTGTGTGAGAAAGTGGACGTGTGGCGTGAGAGTGTGTGAAAAGTGTCGAATGCGTGAGTGGCAGCCCTGTATATATACATTTAAAAATATATTTTATATATTTATTTTATTATACACGTATTCTCTTCACTGTGTACATGTATAATAAAATAAAATGACAACCCTGTCTCTTTTTGTAAAACATCAGTTTTAATGATCAATATTATAAAGTTTTATATTTTTTAAATTAAAACAGAAAGAGGCAGAGTTGTGTTTTATATTTCGTTTTGATATTAATATACACGCAGTGAAGACAATCAATGTATGCGTTGCCTGAACCACATTTGTGTGGCTATTAATATGTTTAAAAAATAATAATAATTAAAAGAGGCAGTGGCGTTTTATAACATATTTTGTTTTATTGTAGCCTAAAATATACATAGAGATAACAATCGTCTGGATTGTTCACAGGTGTTTCTTGTTTAGTCATTCGTCTCTAAATGGCCCTCATGTTTCCATTGTATCTGGGCTTTGTTCCCTGTACTCATTGTTGGTATGTTTATGTTTCCGTTCATGATCAAGTTCAGTTAAGTCAAGCCAAGTCTTTGTTATTTTGTATGTCGTTCAGTTTAATGTTAATAAAACTGCCCTTGTGTTCGTCAAGCTTGCCTCCAGTGGACTTTACACATAATAGCAGTACTGGACAAATTTTTTTATAAATTGCGGGTTCAGAACTGGCTCTAAATCCCAGTACAATCAGAGGTGAAGGACGAGACGAGCCAGCAGTCGCTCACACCTCAGATGGAGTCGATCTGGACCCGGAGGAACAGCTGGGGCCGGTTTCACAGAGATAGACTTTGACTATGGCTTAGATATAGTAGATAGTCAAGACTTCAGATAGACGTCTAAATCAGACCGTTGCACAAAGCACTTAAGACTCTGACTTTCTTAAGTAGAACTACACTGCAATGCATTCTGGGTAAAATAAGACACTTTTCAAAACAAAAAACATGGCGGATCGAGTGAGCTCACTCAACCGCTCAGTGCAGTTTACCCCAGCGGGAGATATGTGTGTTTGGAGGAGTGTAACAGTTACAAGCACATTTTACTTTGGAAATTTAGCGTAGAATTTAGTAACAAGAAGAAATGTTTAATTTGCTACGACAGTTAATCCGACTGTTGATCGAAGCGTTAAAGACGTACCGAAAAGATACAAAAACATGGTACAAGATGCCAAAAAAGAAATATTTAAGAGGAAATATCCAAAAACGGGAGGAGGACCCCAAGAGACACTTAAAGACACTGAAATGGTGATGGATATATATGGTGGACAGTCGCCTATGTTTTCTTTCGGCTGTTTGTAGTGTAACTGATTGTTACTGCTGGTTGCCACGGTAACAGAGTCTTAGACCTGAGTTAGCCTGGGGGAAAGGCGTCTAATTTTTTTGGTCTAAATTAAGTCAGTCTTTATTTTTGTGAAACAGTCTAACTTGCATGAGACTAGTCTATGAGCAAATTTTAGACTTGTCTAACACTACAGACCGGTCTAAAATAGCTTTGTGAAACCGGCAGGGCGTTTCATGCGGGACTAACCTGAACTAATGCTGCCCTTTGGTCCAAAAATATGGACGCACTCCTTGTTCCCTTTTTGCACTTACTCACTAAGACTGGAAGCTTTATAGCCTGGTTAAAACCAGAGCATTCTCAGTTGTAACTGAGTTATGGTCTGGCAAAGCGTCATAGACAGATCATTTCCAGAGGGGCGTCACCAACGGACGTCGCGGATAGACCTAAACCCAATCAGAGCGATGAAGTAAGATGACGTATGCAGAGCGGCGGAGAAACATCTCCGAGTGTTGTTCTTTGCTCGGTTTTTAACAAAAAGGAAACGTTCAAATGGCTTAAAACAGACGCGATAGCTGATTGGAACAAGTGATGTTCGACGGCGGCGTCCATCTTTGTAATGTAGGCTACAAAATCTGCTTCAAAATCCCAGCGCTGTCGTCATCGTGTAAAGCCCGCCCCAACGCTTCTGATTGGTGCCTCGATTTCGGCGGATTGGAAATGGGCTTGAATGAGCTCTTTGCCAGACTAACTTTCAGAGCAAATCTAAATTTGCCGGAAGTTGTCTGGGTTTTCCCAGGCTAGAAGCTGTATAGTGTTACTGCAAGAAAATGAACAGCAAATGATGTGCATTAGGTGTGCGACCACAGCATTATGTCATTTATCTATTTAGCGCTGCCACAGAGAATAATGGGAAATTCAGTCGCATGGGTCTGTTGTTGTATGAACTGGCTAAATGAGTAATATTTACTGGCAAGCTTTATTGCTATTCTTCATTAGCAGAACACAAAACTAAATTTCAGCCTACATTCACAATTCAAACGCATTTTTCATTTCATTTTGCAATTTCAACATGATTCTTTAACTGGTGATCGTAGTGGCGTTCATGTACGCTCATCTTGTATATACGAACATTTGGACTCGAGGGTTTCATAAGCTTTCAGATCCTCGGCACAGACAGGCCTCCTCCGTGAGAGCTTGAGTGCTTCAAATGATTTAGACTCAAAGGACTTTTAACCAGTTATTGTGTGGGTGGATTTTTTTATTTATTTTTTAATAGAGGAAGTATAATTAAGATCGAGTGCACTCTAGCCAGCTTCCCTACAGCAGATACTGTACAGTAATAAATGGTCGACATGTTCATTTGGGTTCGTACTATAAAGTACTTTGTTGTAATTGAGATTATATGATTGCCAAATCTAAATATCTCATTAGAATACATGCTGTTCTGAATTATGATGATGGTACCTTGAAAAAAAATATTGCAGATTGTAACTTCCCTTTTGTTGTTTTACCTTTTTGACCAGTGACTCTTCCACAGACTTGTGAATGCTGGATAAGCAGTTTAAAATAAATTAAATAATTCAAATTCAAACTAATTTATCAATAAACAATTCTGACTAATTTATGAACTGGTCTGACCAATTCACCACTGGCTTCAAACCATAGTCATGTTTCATTTGCGAATCATTCTTTAAAATTTACAGAAATAAAATTTATTGAGATTTACAGAACTTTTGTAATTTTCCATCAAAGCTTCTTGAATGGGGCCTAGTATGCCCTTTTTTGTTTTTGGGCTCTACAAGAACAGGTTTTCATGCTTGAATGTTCAATAAACACATTATTTCCCTCATATTCTCCATTGTTGCGGCTCCTCTATTCCCAGTCTGTCAGTAACGCTCTGTTTAGTTCCTGTCTCTATGAAGCCCCTCCTTCTGAAAGCACACTGTGCTCTGATTGGTCGGCTGGATCAATGTGTTGTGATTGGTCGAGCGCTTTGAGTGTGTTTGGGAAATGTCCCGCCCCTTACCATAACCGCCAGTTTAACATGCTACTACAGGGTTCCAGACTGCGACCAAATTGGTCGCATATGCGACCATTTTTTGAGAATGTGCGAGTTAAAATGTTATGTGGTCGCATTTGTGCGAGTGGACGCTCGAGCAACAGAACGCCGTTGTATCAGCTGCTGCAGTCCGTAACTTATGTTCAAAATGAACGAGTAGGCTACATCATGAATCCATTTTCCAAACCGTGTTTTTGACTTATTCTGAATCACTACGGTACGCTTATAATAAGTGTTTATATTCGGACTATTTTATCCCGGGGTCGTCTCGGCTGCGGAGTAGCCCAGTGCCTGCGTGACTCGCCATAGACATTAACGGAGAGAAGTTCCGTCTACAATGTTCTTCCGCAAGACATGTGCAGTTTATTTATTGACGAACATAGACGTCACGCGCATTGCACACTGATGGTGAAACGCGCCAATTACGCATTCACGAATTAAGGCATATAAAAATGATAAAAATGGTCTCACGAAACACAGAGCCCCTTCCTCCTACGTCTTTTCAACGGTTATATTTTCCTCTGTCGAGCGATTACTCTCATGATCGCTCGACAGAGGAAAAGGAAATTATTATAAAATGCAGAAGGTAATTGGAGTGTGAGATTTCTGCTTTTTGTTACAACTATAAACTTTGATAACGAAAAATCTGTATCAGTTTATTATAATAGCTACTCTAATCTTTTAAAATGTATGTTTAATGATTTTTAAAAGATAGAAAGATGATTATAGATAGACAGATAGAATATGATTTAAATGTAAATAGATAGATTGTATATAATTCAAATGTAAAATGCTTAAAATTACAGATTAAAATTACTGTCCAAAATCCATGAAAATCCTGAAATTTGGCAATGATAATTACCATATATTACATGTTTTTTTATATAATATATTACAGGTATTTCTGCAGCAACCCAGAAAGCCTTTGCTAGCCTTGGTCCATTAAAACCACTATTCATCAGCATGCATTGATTAATCCCATGGCATGTAGCAAAAAAAAAAGAAAAAAAAGGTGCGACCAAATCATATGCTGGTGCGACCAACTGAGAAAGTTGGTAGCACCAGTGCAACCAGTGGAAAAGTTAGTCTGGAGCCCTGTACTAACTAACTCGACCAGGCCCCGCCCCTTTATTCTGCTTATGAATTATTATAATGAGGAATATTGTGACGTGTTCGTTCCCGGAAGAAACTCGAGACTACAGTAGAGGCGTTTCAGGAGTTCAGAAACACTGACACTGATATAGAGAAGAACTTTGTAACTTTGCAGAGCTTCCTCATGCTCAAACAGCAACATCACACACTAAAAACAGATGATCATGTAAAAAAGCCCCCAGTGAAAAGCCATATAGAGTGTGTTTCTAGGATCAGACTGCTTCAGGCTGTCGTACCTTGGCATAGTTTGTGGTTTTGATGAACCACTGCTTTAGAAGCTTCTGTTCCACGGGAGCTCCAGACCTCCATGAGCGCCCGCTCTCATCCACCTGTTCATCTGCCAGAACCGTCTGATCCACGGGGTCCCAGTTCACCAGCGCCTGCACACAGGGCACCAGAAAAAGTAGATGAACAAATGAAAATGTCATTTCTCTAGATCAGGGGTTTTCAAAGTCTAAGGGGCTGTTTACACCTGGCCACTTCATGTGTTTTCTCAGATCGGATAGCTATCTGATTTATCAAAACGATTCCATTTACACCTGGTCACATAAATGTGTTTTTGCAAAACGGATATAAATCCGATCTTCAATTCCCGCTGCAGATTTAATGGAGTGCACGTCACCGAAAGCAACAGATATTGCTGCATTTTATTGATCATCAGCTAATTTCATAATCAAAGACAGCAATAAGAGAGAGCGTTAACAGAACTGGTAAGATTAAAAATTAAAAATTATAACTATGCAACCGTCTACCACAGTATCGCATCAGGAAGTGCATTGTAGTCTCCCTGAGGAAAAATTTGATTTATTTGTTGCTATAGGAGAGGAAGAATTCTGCAAACTCGTTAATTCATCTAAATCGACAACTTGTATGTTAGATCCTATACCGACTAAGCTACTGAAAGAGATGCTTCCAGAGGTCATATATCCTCTTCTTACTATCATTAATTCATCTTTGTCTCTAGGATACGTACCAAAAACCTTTAAACTGGCTATGATAAAACCGCTTGTTAAAAAACCTCAACTTGATCCTACAGAATTAGTCAATTACAGGCCGATCTCGAATCTGCCTTTTCTGTCAAAGATATTAGAAAAAGCAGTATCTTCACAACTATGTTCCTTTCTAGAAAGAAATGATATCTGCGAGGATTTTCAGTCCGGATTTAGACCGTACCATAGCACTGAGACCGCTCTCATTAGAGTCACAAATGATTTGCTCTTATCATCCGATCGTGGTTGTATCTCTCTATTAGTGTTACTCGATCTTAGTGCTGCATTTGACACCATTGACCACAACATTCTTTTAAAGGTGCCCTAGAATGTTTTTTATTTTTATTTTTATAATGTTTCCTGGGTTACCCTTATAATGTTAGTATATTTTTTAGATAAAAAATATTCATAATTTAGAAATAAATGGCATTTTTCCTAGCCTGCTTTTAGCCTCTGATTTGAACACTCTGTTTGAAGGGGCGTGTCTGCTGTGGGATTCAGTGTAACCGCGGCCACTGCTGTGATTGGCTGACATGCTTGCATATGAAATAGCAACGCATTACATGTGAAACTCTCTCCCGAATACTTTTACTACTGCTATTATACGTTTTTACTATAACAGCTATCGAGATTAACGAATCGTGAGATGTTTTTAAAGTATTTAACGTTAGATCTATTCCCATCACATAAAATGTTGCCGTGATGAGCATTGAGCAGATGACAGTGTGTTGATCGCGAGAATGAAGATCTTATCATTGCAAAGCAGTTTCTGCCCTCTCTCTAATGCTTTCACCAATGCAAACACGATGATGTAAATACAGTAAGAGCTTCGTTGTGCAGTAACGTGCGTCATTGATTTCATAACGAGTTTGGCAAGTGTCCAGATAAACTCGCGCTGTGTGGAAAGATTGTTCTTTGATCGCTTTCTGTATATAATTTGTTCACAATTTAAATACGATTATTTTCATCCTACTAAAAGAAACGATGTGAAGCTGATATTTTAGTCACTGGCTTGACTTACTGATGCATAAACAGTATTGAACGATTTTGAGAGAAAGATTACCTGTCTGAACTTGAACAATTAACTGTTACACATCAGAAAGTGTTGCTTGGTAGCTCGATCCGAGGCCAGCTCTGTATTGGCCCAAGTTGAGGAAACACTCGGTGAAATGTTTGGAAATTTCCAGAGAAAATAAAATTAACCCATTGTTTCTTCAGAGGCTCAGATAAAGGAACTAAAAAATACTTTTGTGTTCATGTTTACATCCACACTGAGCAACTGCCATGCTTCGGCTGCGCAGTTCCGCCTGGCATTGAGGGCTGGCATTATGCAAATATTTGGAGGCGTACATATTAATGATCCCGACTATTGCGTCACAGTCGGTATTGTGTGGAGAACCGACCGTTTTTCAGGGGTGTTTTTCATAAACGTGAATTAAATGAGAACGCCAAAACAGTCCAGTTTGAGATTCACTCTATGTCATGTCCATGCACTGAACTCTTGTTATTTGACTATACCAAGGTAAATTCAATTTTGAATTATAGGTCACCTTTAAATAGACTAGAAAACTATGTTGGCATTAGTGGAATTGCATTAGCATGGTTTAAATTATACTTAACTGACCGTTATCAGTTTGTAGCAGTAAATGAAGAGATGTCTTATCGATCACAAGTTCAGTATGGCGTACCACAAGGCTCAGTACTAGGGCCGCTGCTGTTCACTCTGTACATGCTACCATTAGGAGATATCATTAGGAAACATGGAGTTAGCTTTCACTGTTATGCCGATGATACTCAACTGTATATTTCTTCAAAACCCAACGAAACTTACCAATTCACAAAATTAACGGAATGCATAGCTGATATAAAAAATTGGATGACTAGTAATTTCCTACTACTAAATTCTGAAAAGACAGAGATTCTAATTATTGGACAAAAAACTTCCACACGTAATAACCCAGAATACTGTCTAACACTTAATGGCTGCTCTGTCAAGTCTTCGTCTTCGGTTAGGAACCTGGGTGTGCTATTTGATACCAACCTTTCTTTTGAAAGCCACGTGTCTAGTATCTGTAAAACTGCATTTTTCCATCTTAAAAATATATCTAAATTACGCCATATGCTCTCATTGGGAAATGCGGAACAATTAGTCCATGCGTTCATGACCTCAAGGCTAGATTATTGTAATGCTCTACTGGGTGGTTGCCCTGCACGCTTAATAAACAAACTACAGCTAGTTCAAAACGCCGCAGCTCGAGTTCTTACCAGAACCAGGAAATATGACCATATTAGCCCGGTTCTGTCAACACTGCATCGGCTCCCTATCAAACATCGTATAAATTTTAAAATATTGTTGATTACCTACAAAGCACTAAATGGTTTAGCTCCGCAGTACTTGAGCGAGCTCTTAACGCACTATAGTCCTTCACGTCTATTGCGATCTCAAAACTCCGGCCAGCTGATAATACCTAGAATATCTAAATCGACTGCTGGCGGTAGATCCTTTTCTTATTTAGCACCAAAACTTTGGAACAGTCTTCCTACCATTGTCCGGGAAGCAGACACACTCTGTCAGTTCAAAGCTAGACTAAAAACACATCTCTTTGACCTAGCATACACATAATACATTATAGACTTCTATAAATTCAATGTTAGGCTGCATAGATTAGGTCAGCCGGAACTGGGAACACTTCCCTTAAATCTTGATGTACTCGCTACATCATAAGAAGAATGGCATCTACGCTAATATTAGTGTCTTTGTTTATCCCGAGGTTTTCCCGCAGCCTGCCGGATCCAGGCCGTGTCCAGATCTGACGAAGGAGATTCGCCTGGACCCGATGACAATGCAGTGCTGAAGTATCCACTATCCTCTCCCTATGGAGGATCCCTTTCCCACTCTACAGATAAAGCACTGTGAATTCCGGCTCGCGTACCCCGAAGTGATAAAATAAAACAAAATTCTGTATCAAAATTTATAGGCAAGAAAAGTAGTTTGTTTAGGCTGGGTTGTATGAATTACAAACCTGCGCACATATTTTAAAAAGCACATAACTATAGAATTCTGAATGAGCATGTGAACGCCGTCAGCGTTAATCACAGGTTCGCGTTTAAAGTCTGATCATTTCGACGGAGGTGAATCAATCAAAGTTAACTTTAGCTGGAAGTAACATTATTCAAGAACCGCTATAACGCCAAAACAATCTGTTACCTTAAATTATATGTTTATCTCTGTAAAGCTGCTTTGAAACAATTCATTGTTAAAAGCGCTATATAAATGAAGATGACTTGACTTGACTTGAAGATCATTTCATTTCTTTACTTTTAATGAAGATGATTGTGTGTTAAGCGTCTGCGACTTACTTTCACTTTGATTTGCGATAGTTTGAGGCGCGTTGGCTTGATGAATAGATGCTCATCTGCTCAGCTACGGTGATGCGTGTCGCAGTATCATCGTCATATCTGACTAACATGACATATAGCCTATAACACGCTCTCACACGTTTATTCTTTTAGCATTTTTGGGAGGAGTAAAATTTACATATGTGGTTTCAACCATAGATATCCATAATAAAGGCTAGATGTCTCGTCCGCGCTGCTGGCCAATGGAGGTGGACGTCCGCACCTGGCGGCCATCTTGTCACAGGCAGCTCGCTCACTCGTAACATTGTGTTTTAATGGCGCATGTACTTTTTAAATAACCATAACTTGCTCAATTTTCTACCGATTTTCAAACTGTTTGGTTTGTTATAAACGTCAGAGATGTAGTTATGACACTGCATACTTATGAATAATACGTGTATAAATAAATAATCATCCAGAATTATAGCCACGTTAATAACGTTTGTAAGAAACCAAACCGTTTGTAAATCCGTCAAGATTTCAGCGAGATAAGAGTATTTGTGTTCGTGCTGATCACTCATCTTACATCAGGCACCACAGAGCCCGCCAGAACGCTTGCCTGTGACAAGATGGCCGCCGGTGATGACGATAGAGACTCCGCCGTAAGACTTCTAGCCTTTATGATGGACATCTATGGTTTCAACAACCAGATGCCAGACTTGTCCAGTTTCGTCTGGAATGCGGCTCAGACCTCCTCCTGAAGTGGTTTGAGCGATCGGATTCAAATCCGTCTCGAATGCGTTTCGGAGGGCATTTACACCTGGTCTTTTCACGATCCGATCACAGAAAACGCATGAAGTGGCCAGGTGTAAACAGACCCTAAGACAGTGGGCCTCCCTTTTGACACAACTCACTTTTAACTCCTTTTAACTCTTTAACTCCTCACTTTTAGCATTGTTTGTGTTAACATGAAAACCTCGTTTACACTTTCAGTGAAATGTGACCCAATTCAGATTTTTCGCTCAAATGTGACACAGATCGGATGTGTTCTATGACCGTGTAAACAGGAAAAAAACGCATGGATTCGGATATTTCGAGATCGGTTTCAGGGCCTCAATCATATGATGAAATAAATCAGATATGTGCCAATGCAACTGTCATGTAAACAGGCAGATTGGATTTTCTGAGGCATTAGCGGTTTAATGACGGCGCGCCCCACACTTTGAGAACTACTCTAGATGCTAATATTAAACCAAGAGGAATCTGTAAATGAATGCTGCAAGATCTTTGCTATTCACTAAAATTGACTTTTATTCATCATTTGGCACAATGGGTTTTAATCAGCTGGTGTCAATGTGATTTTTAGCGGATGTATGAAGTCATTTCTCCTCAAATTCACACAGGTGTCCTATCGCAGGAACCACAGGGATCAAAAGTTTGGGATCAGTAAGAAAAAAGTCTCTTCTGATCACCATGGCTGTATTTATTTGATAAAAAAAAACAATAAAACAGTAATATTGTGAAATATTATTACAATTTAAAATAACTGATTTCTATGTGAAAATAGTCAAATGTAATTTATTCCTGTGATCAGAGCTGTACTGTCATCATCATTACTCCAGTCTTCAGTGTCACATGATCCTTCAGAAATCACTCTAATATGATGATTTGATGCTCAAGAAACATTTATGATTATTATCAGTGTTGAAAACAGTTGTGCTGCTTCATATTTTGTGGAAACCCCAACATGTAATATTTCAAAAGTACAGCATTTCTTTGAAATAGAAACCTCTTGTAACACAAATGTCTTTAAATTAATGCATCCTTGCTGAATAAAAGTGTCAGTTTCTTTACATAAAAAATATCATAGTGATCCTAAACTTTTGAACAGAAGTGTATTGTTTTACCATTTATCATTAAAACATATTTTTTTAAAAATATTACTTACATTAAACATTGCTTACTGATGATTAACCCCTTACAAAAAATATATCTGCAGACGGCCCCAGATTATTGTTGTTCAACATTCACTGCACGTTAAAACATCACACTCTTACTTGATCTGGACAAACTGAGCATCATTAGAAAGATTAAATACTCCAGCTTTGATATTTGACCACTGTTTATGATAAAACTCGGGTCCATGACAGTGATTTCTTAATTTATGTCAGGAGTGCAAAATAATAAATCTGTAACTTATGATATTTTGAATAGAATAAAAACACGCACTCATATTCAGTCACGGTGTATTTGTGTTCACACAGCTGCACTGAACAGCGTCCACTAGGGCCCTTAGTCCAAACGTGCGCATATTTGGAGAAATACTGATTTATTCTCACTTATTTCATCATACAGAACATAATTTCTACTCATTTCCCACTGAATTATGCGACCTGAAGAGCTGAAACTGCGAACAGAGCGCTGTCTGTCTGTCCTATTCGGTCTAGAGCTGTCAATCAACTTACGTGACCATAATCAGGATGATGTAAACTTCCTCATTCTGAGCTCCGTGAAAAACAAACCCAAAGAAACATTTCTACACGTGAAACAAGGAGCTAATAAACACACGGTTACAATAGTATATGATTTGTGTGTGATTTTCATGCGATTTGGAGTATTTTCTAATCAATAATGGATGTTTACATTATAAATGCTAAGCAGGTAGCAGTTATAAAATGCTAAATATAACATATTTCAAAACCATTATATGACTAAAATCCACATTAGATCAGAATCGGAAGTTTTTACAAACACTCAATGGTTGTTTAAAGTGAGTTTTGTGTAAAAGCGTAATATTGATCCTTTAAATTATGTTATGTAACCACTTTCTATTTTTATAATCTAATTGATTGGGGGGGAATACATAACGTCCCAAGAAAATGCTTTTTTGTTTTCTAGAAAGACTTCAGATAATAGGTCTATTAATGTATAGTGGGATCAAAGTGGTGTGGATGGGCAAGCCATGTAATGTCAGAATAAAGGCTAATAATGGCTGAATAAAAACAAAAGAATAATGAAGATTAGGTCTCAAACCCAGCAGAAGTGTGAAAGGTTTGTCGAGTGAGAACAATAGAAACATGAATGGTGCAGTTCACCACACCAGACATAGACAAGTGTGTGTTTCACAACCGTAGATGAAAAACCAACTCACCTCTTTCTGATAGGCCAGTCCAGCCTCGAACAGCTTGAGGAACAGATACTGGGTCCACTTATAATAATCAGGCAGACAGGTTGTGATCTCCTGTCAAAAGATTAGACAACACTGCATTCAAAGAAAGAAGTCATTTCAATATAAAACACAAATATCAACAAACAAAAATAGACGGAAGACAGAGCAAAAAGACAATATACAGAGCAAAACAACAGTTTTTCAACAAACATAAAAAAAAAAAAAAGATATTTCTACAAGTAAAATTTATCATTTTGTTTTAGGGTCAGTGATAATTGTAGTGGATCAGTGAAAATACCGACAGGGCAAGTACAAATCTGAGTTACTCGTCGGACCGAGCCATAGAGATACAATCCACTACTAGTAAAAAATCTGGAAAAAACTATGAAAACCTTTGGGATTTATAGGGTTAAATGCTTGAAATTTGTCTTATTTATACCAATACATTACAAACAGGCTTTTACAAATAGGCTGCATACAAATGTGTATTTATAAATCTCTTTTCATTTATTTAGAAAGTCCAGATCGAGCAGAGCTCAAATATAAAGGAGTTTTGGGTTGTTTAAAGGGATACTTCACCTCTGGAAAGATGAATGTGTATTTAAAATGGGTCATTTGTGTAAGAAATGTGAAATTATTTTTGAATTTGGAGCTTTCTAGACTGAGAAAAGCCAGAAAATGTATTTTTGGCTTATGTGGATGAAAGACAACAACTCCCAGAATGCACTTGCTTTGCTGTCCTAGGAGGCCACGCCCCGCGGGAGAACGGCACGAGGCCGGTGGCGGGATTACCGATGAGCGACACCCGTGAGACGCACCGCTCTCGTATCTCTCACGGAGGAGCGGGAATTTTCTTAGCAATGTTAAAACACACATCAACCGATCACTTGTTTAGCGTTCATGTAAACACTACATTCAGATTCACCAATCGGAATGAATTCAGTTAGATTGAAACAAAAGGTGTGCATGTAAACAATAATGGCGACTGCAGAAAGCAAAAGCTGAATCCCGAACATCGACGGCCGGACATGTCCGGGAAAAGAGGATGGTGACCCCTACTACTCAGCTTTCTCCACAGAACAAGAGCCTGCTAGCTTAGCTTCCAAAAAAAGATGGCTGACACTATGTGTCTGTTCTGTGAGTGAGATCCCACCCTCTATGGGCGGGTTGAGAACATGCGGGACAGCTCCTACTACTGACTGTAGTCTTTAGCCTCTGGACAAAAAATCCTCCGATGACGCAAAATGGCGATTTTTACATCATCGGAGGATTTTTCCAGACAAAAAATACTTAAATCTCTCGTCTCAGGGGGATATGAGGGTGGAAAGCATGGTAATTCGAAAATACTACAGGTTTTCAACTAATACAAAGCTTAATGCTAAAACACTTGCCACTACATAACTCCCATACTTCATAACCGTTTGAGTTATTTCATGAGCCCCTTTCACACATACAGCCTTTACTAGAAAATGACCGTTTAGAGATCATGTCAGTGTGAAAAGGACCTTTTCAAAAACACTGGTAAAACAGTTCAGGCAATTTTCTGGTATAAGAACATCTTCTATATAGAAGAGTGTGGTGTCTCAAAATATTACAAAACTGGGAAAGCAGTTTGAAACCATAAAGACTCTGCAGTCTAGAGTATTTGGGCCAGAAGAATAATGAAGAACCCAATGTCCACTTTGACGATAATCTCTTTATCGGTCTGGTCTCTATGGTAATGTGACCAAACCCAAGCAGTCGTGAGCTTTAGACAGCCAGAGTTTGCATCACTTAAACTCTAAAAGCATTAAGACGATATCCTCTAATCCGATTAGGTAGAGCTGAAGTCGGAGTGTCACGTCTGGCACACGCTCAGATCAGCCCATCAGATCTCCTTCGCTATAGACACAGTCAAGCTCAATCCTGCTGTGAAGAGGTGACAGAAGAACCGGCTAAATGCTCTGGGTTTAAACCCTAATGTACTGAAGAGATTTGTTAATGGCTTAAACTATTTATGGCTTTTATTTTGTCACTAAAGAGTTCATTCATTTTCTATAAATTAGCACAAAACAATCAATTCTAAAGTCTATTTTAATTATAAATGCTAAAACCGATTGGTCAATACTAGGGATCATCATGAAACGATGATCGCCCTGACTTTAAAAAATAGATTTGTCAATTTTTCTGATTGATTATTGAGGCATTATGGGCGATAGCTGAGGTCTGATTGGTTAGCGTTAACAGCACGCCTTCCAGACCGGCGAACTAAAGTGAAACTAGATTTGAAAGGCAGTGATACCTGGAAACACTTTGATCATGAGATGGAGTCAGCACAACATGTGTAGCGCGATTCTATCACATGCATTGCCTTATAATGAGAACACGATTGTAATAGATAAGAATGTTGTAAATTCTCTGTGCTTTAGTTCTTCAGCACGTCAGACTAGCATGGTCAAGTTCATGTGCGCATTCGCCTCTTTTAGTGCAGATGTAAGTTGTAAAATTACTTGGTTACACTTTACTTGAAGGGGTGTGCATAAGAGTGACATGACACCTTCATAATCATGACATGACACACGTTATTAATATGAAGGAGGTTTTATGCATGTTTATGACAAGTGTCATTCGCTCAATTATGACATTTTTAATGCAAATATGACATTGTTTGAGATGTCTTTGTCATGACAACTTGACATAAACCAATACATCATAACCTGTCATAAATATGTCATAAACATGACATAGCAGATTAATTATCAAACTTAAGAAAGCACTTAGCTTTATTGGGTTAACATTACATTAAACTGTCATGTGGTTGGTTTTGACATTGGCTGTCATGAGCCCGTTATAACTGTGTCATGAATATTTTTCTTGACCTCAACTACAGTGGTACACATTGAATTTGTCATTAAAATGTTATAATGCCTCATGACAGCCAATGTCAAAACCAACCACCTGACAGTTTAATGTAATGTTAACCAATAAAGCTAAGTGGTTTCTTAAGTTTGATAATTAATCTGCTATGTCATGTTTATGACATATTTATGACAATTTATGTTGTCTTAGTAATGTCAAGTTGTCATGACAAAGACACTGACAGGTTATGACGTATTGGTTTATCTCAAACAATGTCATATTTGCATTAAAAATGTCATAATTGAGGGAATGACACTTGTCATAAACATGCATAAAACCTCCTTCATATTAATAACGTGTGTCATGTCATGATTATGAAGGTGTCATGTCAGTCTTATGCACACCCCTTCAAGTAAAGTGTTACCGATTACTTTTATGTTGTCTATATCTGATTAATCTCATATAGGATGTGTTTGGTTGAGAATACCGACCGTTCATTCACTCTTCAGTTTCAGCTCAAATGCGAAGCCCGACATTATTGACTATGGGTTATTTGAGACGGTCATATTCTGTTTAAATTAGCTATTTCTTTTTCAAAATCATTGCTCATATTAATAATGTAGCAGTGTTAATATATTCTCATATTTTCATAACAGTACACCTATGTTTTATTTAAAGTTGTTTCTTGTTAAGGCTTCAAAAACGCGCCACTATGATCATAAACGATAAAATGAAGTGCAAGATGTGCAGTGCCAATCTGCCATATACATCGCATTATAATGAGAACAAGATTGTACTAGAATGTTGTAAACTCTTTGTGCTTTATCCATGTAGAGTTGGTGAATGAACATCAGTAGCACACTTTAACTCTTTCCCCGCCAGTGTTTTTGAAAAAAGTTGCCAGCCACCGCCACCATTTTTGATCATTTTACAAAATGTTCTTGGCCCCTAGAACACGCAATACATCAAAAGAAAGACCAGACCCTCTGCTTTTAAACTAAAAAACTGTTTTATTTAGGGCTGTTATTAACGGCGTTAACGCAAACCCATTTTAACAGCGTTAATTTTTTTATCGCGCGATTAACGCTCTTTTTGGCCTAGCAAACTTTGTAGTTTTTTTCACATGCTTTTGCAACAGGACGCGGCGCTGCACTATGAAACCCATTCATTTCAATGGCTTGCGCGAGGACGTTTTGTTGCTTCGTCGACCAAAGCGCAAGCGGATCTAGCTAGACCGGAAACAAAACAACAGGCACGCCGCACACACTTGTTTGGGTCTGCGAGCCGGCCAAATAGTTGGTTAACGTTACGTTTTGAGTGGATGACGAGCGCGAGACGCCGATGGATGCCAATAAGATTCTGAATGGAAAGTATACTTTTAAAAAGTTGCCAAATGGTTCCATTGACGAGACCAAAGTGATCTGTGTGTTTTGTCGTTGTGAACTGAGCTATCATCATCGCAGCACGTCCAGTCTGAAATACCACTTGATGATGGCCAAGCACACACACACACACACACAGCTGATGCGAATTCTCCGCCCCCTCGTCAATATCAGGACCTCGTCAGTATTTCTTTCACCCTTTTATTGATGGACAGTGTTACATTGTGTGAGAGATTATTTGCTCCAAGTGAGAATGTTAGTGTGAAATTAAGTATATGTATATGCAGTATATGCCAATGTTGTTTTCAATAAAAAAACATTTGCACAAAGCAAGCCGATCCACTTTTCCATGTTGATAAGAGCATTAAAATGAGAAAAAAGAATGGGACAAAAAGAAATCAAGAGACATTTAGGATAGATAAAAATGTGCGATTAATCGCGAGTTAACTGTGGTAATAATGCGATTAATCGTGAGTTAACTGTGACATTAGCGCGACTAATCGCGAGTTAACTGTGACAGTAATGTGATTAATCGTGAGTTAACTGTGACATTAGCGCGACTAATCGCGAGTTAACTGTGACAGTAATGTGATTAATCGCGAATTAACCATGGCACTAATGCGATTAATCGAGAGTTAACTGTGACATTAATGTGATTAATCGTGAGTTAACTGTGACATTAGCGCGATTAATCGCGAGTTAACTGTGACATTAATGTGATTAATCGCGAGTTAACTGTGACATTAATGCGATAAATCGCGAGTTAACTGTGACATTAATGTGATTAATCGCGAGTTAACTGTGACATTAATGTGATTAAGCGCGAGTTAATGGTGACACTAGCGCGATTAATCGCGAGTTAACTGTGACATTAGCGTGATTAATCGCGAGTTAACTGTGACATTAATGTGATTAATCGCGAGTTAACTGTGACATTAATGCGATTAATCGCGAGTTAACTATGGCATTAATGCGATTAATCGGGAGTTAACTGTGACATTAATGTGATTAATCGCGAGTTAACTATGGCATTAATGCGATTAATCGCGAGTTAACTATGGCATTAATGCGATTAATCGAGAGTTAACTATGACATTAATGTGATTAATCGCGAGTTAACTATGGCATTAATGCGATTAATCGAGAGTCAACTGCGACATTAATGTGATTAATCGAGTTAACTATGGCATAAATGTGATTAATCGCGAGTTAACTAGGACAATAATGTGATTAATCGAGAGTTAACTGTGACATTAATGTGATTAATCGCGAGTTAACTATGACATTAATGCGATTAATCGAGATTAAATATTTTAATCGTTTGACAGTACTAGTTTTATTCTATAGCTTCTTTCATTCTTTTTTTAATCAACACTTGAATTTGGGTAATTTTCATAAAAAAAGCAACATTTTGAGCAAAAGGCTGAGAAAATCACATTTTTGTCACAGACTACATCCAGATTGGATTCAGAATGATGATGATGTTGTCACTATTGTAAGAAATTAATAAATACAGCTGTGATACACAAGGTGACTAACAATGCCCTTCAGTGCTCAACATACAGCATGGCCTCTGTAACTCAGTCTGGGAATGTGTGTCTAAAGAAAAACTCCTGATGTGAACCGATGCAATGATGTAAGCCAGCGAAGTTAACACAGGTCAGTTCCCACATCTGTTGAGTGTGTGTGTTCAACCACCTCCGCTCACTCACCCGCTCCCAATTAAAGCAGAGCCCCAGGCTGTCCAGCTGCTTCCGCATGGACTCCATGTTACTGAAAGACACAATAAGAGTTGTTGAGGAACCCGTGTGATGGAGGGTTGTGTGTGTGTAGGTGAACATCACTGAGGGCTGTGACTAATCGAGTGGAGAAACGGCACCTTTTGGTCCACGCCTCTGGGTCCAGGTCCCGCTCGATGGCAGCGTTCTCAGCCGGCAGACCGAAAGCATCCCAGCCCATGGGGTTCAACACCTGCAAGTCAAACAACATCGAGCTGTTAATGTCAAACCCCTCCGCTCTGCGTTCGCTATCAGCCGCAATCCACAACAGAAATCAGACCATATACGGGGTTTATATGGCAGATTCTGAACTCTAAAGAGCAAGATGTCTGATGCTAACAACAATAATAATAAGAGTAGTAATAATTACAATAATACACAAAAAATGTAGGCCTGAATTTAAGCATTGCATATTGCATATAAACTTGCTATCCATTCGGTTTACACAGTTTTAACCCAAACAAACTAATAAACTTAATGATGCATATTTGTCAGTCATACATAAATGAAATGGGTAAGATTTCTGCACTCAAAAAATATCATATAAACTATTTGCATCGTTTGATTTTATTTACATAATTATATTTTCAAAATACACTTATTTGAATTTATTCAGTTTAAAAGTATGAACTTATGGCTAGTGTTACGGGTTGAGGGGTTTTCTGTTTCTTTGTCTGGTTTTATGGACTTTTGTTTTGAAGTGTATTTTCTGTTTCACTTGTTTCAGCGTTTCCTGTTTAGTTCCTGTTTGCCTTTGTTCTCTTAGGGTGCGTCTCAATCAGCTCCCTAGTTCAGTAGTCAAGACACTGATAAGGGAGTCGGCCATTATTAGGGCGGTCTCAATTGCAAAATCCTTCAAGTGCACACACTCCCTAAAAAATCCCACAATGCACTGCAAAAACCAGGGCGCATCAATACTCACTATGCACCTTTACTGGAAATCACACCACATTTCTGAAGCCCGAAACAAAATGCACAAGCCAATTCAATAAAAGACAAACCTTTTTTTATTACATGTCAGCATAAACACAACACCATAGTTACAACGAACGTTCGCAAACAGCAAAAACACTCTCAACCTGTAAACAGAAGCATTAGTTTCTTGTTAAAGCTGCAGTCCGCAGTTTTTCCTCTTTGTCGCCATCTCTGTTCGAAATCTGCAATTGCAGTCATTCACGGAATTATCAACTTTACGCGAGTTGTGCCTCGGCACGGCACAGCGCGGATGAACACAGTGTTTGAGGAGAGTGTGTGTCTGTCAGTCGCCGCCGGTGTGGATACTGGCATTCAGAATCACAGATTATTCTTTTTGGAAATATGACTAACATAATAATTTTCACTGGAAAATGTAATCTGAACAAGTAACATCCACTTTTGTTCAGACCAACTAAGGGGAAAAAGCATTGCAGTAAATCGCGCTGATTAAATCTAACGATCGCTTGTCATATCACGTCAAACCGTGCAAATTATACTTTGTTCTCAAATTGTTAATGTTCAACATCAGCATTGCGTGACTACACGTAATGTCCTTCCGATATTATCCTTGTTTTCGCATGGGCCGGTTGCAGTCTCTTCTTTTCTGAAGCCGCTCCGAAGTCCGAACGAAGTCTTTTACATTTTACAGCGGGTGAGTCTCTAGTTGTCACTGGTGATTGTCGTTTGAACCTTTCTGGATCTGCCATCAAATTAATAAGTTTAATTATATCAAGTGCTGTGAGAAAAGGCTATAAATCTCCTCCAGCATCCTCACACTCACAGCCTACTAGCCGAGACTCTTGTTTATGTGTACAGATGTGTGTGTGTACAGATGTGTGTGTGTACAGATGTGTGTGTGCAGATGTGTGTGTGTACAGATGTGTGTGTACAGATGTGTGTGTGCAGATGTGTGTGTGTACAGATGTGTGTGTACAGATGTGTGTGTGCAGATGTGTGTGTGTGCAGATGTGTGTGTGTACAGATGTGACGTAATGACGCAAAGACATGCTCGAATCTCCCGCGGAAATCCACCAGTACCACTGGAGTTAAAAACATTATTACAAGCTTACCGTTGTGAATCGAGCTACGGCAAGCAGATAGTTTTGAACACTGGCTGGTTATGTACCTGCTCAAAAAATTATTTTGGATGATTTTTAACGCAAAAAAAGTTACGGACTGCAGCTTTAAATGACACGTGGACTTTAATAGATCATGCTCTTGGGCACAATAAGCAAGCTAACATTCAGAACATTCTGTATATTTCATTTTTTTTAATTTCAATACATATATATATATATACATTTGAATCTATAAATTTCAGCATGACAACAATCAGCTGCGTTTTTGAAGAGTGTGAATGTACGTGAAATGAACAAATATCAAATAAAGCAAAATGACATGGAACAGAAACAGTGAAGTAGTGATTACTACAGTGACCGCAGCATCTCGGATAGACTCGTTAGCAGACGTTATTACTCCTCCACCTGTGCGTGATGTCATTAACGCCATTCGAATGTTGAACCAATGAGGTTTAAGCGACAGAGGTGCAACTACAGTTTGGGAAACAGTCATGACTAGCTGGTTAATTTCTCCAATGATGCATCGTACGGTAGTTAATCAGCGAGTTACATAGTTGTGTGTGAAACACACCCTTGAACTCTCTGGCAACCACTTAGCATCATATCAACCATCGAGGACACCCTTGCAAGCCGAAATCATTAAAACTAGCAATCTATCTTCCAACTGCCCCACATCCACAGTCAAATAACCTTCAGACATTAAGGGTTATTCAACTTTCAGCCAAGCTGGATGAGCGTCCCTGTCCCTGCATGGATATCGACTCTAAATCCAGAAGAGTTACAGCATATGTGACATACTATAACTCAGAAGAGATGTGCACTCAGATGTGACTAATAAAATGCATGTAGTCATCATCATAAACACTGTGTGTGAGTGTGTGTAGTAAAGTGTTTAATGGAGAATGCAAATGGAGAGCATGAACTCTCTGAAAGCATGGTCTATATTTCACACTAATGTGGATTCATGTCATCGTGCCCTCATCACCACAGACGATCACAGAGATAATAACATCTCCATCTGACTCTATCCTCCCCGCTCTCCTTCTTTCTCTTACGGTATACTGCGTTTCTGCAAAAGACGAGAGGAAACACAGAAAAGCAGAGATAAATAGACAGATTAGAAAAGATTAAAGGGATAGTTCACCCAAAAATCAAACTTGTCATCATTTACTCACTCTCATGTCGTTCCAAACCTGTAAGACTTGCGTTTATCTTCAAAACACAAATGAAGATATTTTCGATGAAGTCTGAGAGATTTCCGTCCCTCCATTGACAGCTACGCAACTACCACTTTAAAACTTCAAAAAGTTAATGAAAAGATCGTAAAAGTAGCGGTTTAGTCCAAATGTTCTGAAGAGACTCGATCGCTTTATATGATGAACAGATTGAATTTAGGCTTTTATTCACACGATTCGTTTTACGATCTCTTTATGAACTCCTTGAAGCTTTAAAGTGGTAGTTGCGTAGACTGTCAATGGAGGGACAGAAATCTCTCAGATTTCATTCAAAATATCTTCATTTGTGTTTCAAAGATGAACGAAAGTCTTACAGGTTTAAAACGACATGACGTCAATTATGACAGAAGTTTAATTTTGTGTTAATGTTAATTAAATGTGAGTCATTTGACTTTGAGTATCTACCGATACCGAGTCCCGATCCGATACTTATATAATACATAAAAAAAGAATAAAGAAGAGAGAGAAAACAGATCCAGGATGTTCCTTATTTTTTATTTAATTCACCTTATTTTAACATTCAACAACTCTGTTAACAAACAGAGCACTTCTGTGAGGTAGCTTGAACAATCAAGTAATAAATAACATAAAATCTTCACTTTTGGACTTTAGTGCAACAGTAAATATAGAAAAAGTCTAATATAAAAACAAATAGCACCTCAACTTAAAATACCCGGCAGGCATGTAAACAAAAAATAAAAATGTTTTAAAAGTGTGTAAAAAAATAATGAGAATACCGGTATATATATATATACATCAGGGGTGTAACAGTTCACAAAATTTGCAGTTCGGTTCGATACAGCGAAAAGAAAGAAATGCCAGAGAAATGTCCTATTTATTAAAAGAAAAACTATTTTTAAATAAGTATGAGTTTTCCTACATCTTGAAACTTTCAGGTTTATAAATGGGGGTAATCTTTGAAGGATGAACAAATAATGTTTTGGTAATCACATTAAAAATAACATTTAAATATATATTTATATAATATTTGAGTTTTGAAGTGCAACATTAAAGGCATACTATGCAGAAATTGTGTTTTTGTCAAACAGCGACCCCTATAGTCGCTGTGGAATACTTGCACTGTCGTAAATAGCTAGCTAGACATATGTGGAAATTATTGGACTGGTCTAATTATCAACAATGGATGAATGAACACCATCGTAAAAAAATTACATACTACAAGCAAGCGCAACAACATAGAACACAAACAAGTTTAGAAATAAGAGATTTATTTACTAGTCCATCAACAAGATCGCCAGATCAGCATTGCGGTTGCATCCAGCTGCTTTTTAGCTCGCGCCAACTACTGAAAGGCGAAAGCCCGACCGAGTGCGACTGTCACAACTCTGAAGGAAATAGTCAAAGGATTCAGTTGCGAGTAAACAGTAATTTATTGAGCACAATAGTAGATTTTTGTGTGGGTCAAAATGGAAGCAGGCAGAAGAAGACTCAGGCTCGGCAACGCAGGGACGCAGTGGGCAGACACAGATGCAGGAAAAGGTAGAAATTTCTCCGGGAAAATCTCAGGAAACCACTGCATGGGTACAGGACTGGAATGCAGGAGAACACGGCGAGTAGAACCCTGGTAGCCTCAACAACCAACTGACAAAGACAGGACGAGGTAACAAACAATATATAGGACATCCTCATTCAAAACAGCTGGCGCTGATCAGCCGCGCCCACTCACACAGCACGCACACACATAGCGAGGGCGAATCAGGGACTCTTTTCCGGTTCCTCACGCGGTCAGATTCTCTTTTCCTTTTCCTAATCTCTTCCGACCGCATTTTCTTTCCTTTTTTCATCGTCGAGTATCACGTCTGAAATGCGCGCAAGTGTCTTTGTGCTTCATATGTTGTTGTTGATGTGTGTGACGTCGTTGCCGTAAAGCATGTCGTTATTCT